TACACTGTTCATCTGGGGATTGGACAGCCCCATGAAACAAAATGGGACTAATGAGGCACTGCAGTCCAGGGACAAGGGCTAGAAGGCAGAAGGGGACAGGAAAGCTGGTGATAGGGAACCCAAGGTTGAGTAAGGACAATATTGACATGTAGTGGCTTTGTTAACCATTGCCATCTGGCAACATGTGTACTAACTGTTTAATGAGAAAATATTTTATTCTGTAAAACTTCATCTAAAGTGAGAATAAAATCACAACAAGAAGTAATCAATGTCACTGAACTGTGCATGTAGAAATTTTTCAAATGGTGTATCTTTGGCTATGTATATTTTCACCAAAAAAAAAAAAAAAAGAGAGGTCAAGAAGGGAGAGGTTTGATCTGTCATGGGGTTGTTAACTAATGTCAGAAGACAGTATGTGTACTGACTGTTTAATTTGAAACTAATTGTTCTCTAAGCCTTCACCTAAAATACAATAAATAAATAAATAAAGATGCTGGACTTGAAGACTTAGGTGATGCAGTCACAAGCCAATGAATGCCAACAACAAGCAAAGCTAGATGAGGAAGAAACAGATTCTCTCCTGGAGCTTCAGAGGTGATCATGACACCGCCAACACCTTGACTTCAGGCTTGTAATACTGATGTCAGAATTCTGGGCTTCAGAAATGTGAGAGAATAATTTTTTGTTTGTTTGTTTTAAGCATACAAGCTTGTGGTAATTTGTGACAGCAGTCACTGAAATTAATACAGGAGTAAAATCTGAGAAAAAACACGTTTATAGCAGAGATTAAAAAGTAGCATTAATGGTAGTACTCAAGTATTTTTATATGCGAGGTGTTGCTCAAAGCATTTTATGTGTATTGACTCCTTTGCTTCACCAGAAAACTACAAAATTGGGAGAATTATTATACTCATTTAATGTATAAAAATCCTTGGCACTGAATAGTTGAGTAACTTACTCAAGGTCACATGGCTAGGAAGGGTCAGAGCTATAAGAAAAAATTGATACCTAATGGATCAAGGCCATGGGAAATCTATACACATTTATAGATGGTTAGGATTACAGATGAAAGAATTGGCTTTAAAAGGACTAGGATGACTGAGAGAGATGACTTTCCTTCTGTTTATTTTCCGTTAGTTTGCTTTCACAGAGAAGGCAGCACTGAGCAAAAGAACGGAGGTAGGACTGCAAAAAGCACAATCAGAAGACACTAAGCAGAAAAGCCTGGCTTGAAAAGGGAGTCCATTTGGGAGAGAGACAAACTAAGGTTTATGGGGGATGTCTCAAACCTGAAGGTAAAGCTCCCAGATCTGAGAATAATAGCAGAGAAAGGAGGAAGGGAAAGAGTCTGGGAATGGTTTTAAAAGTTGAGTTTAAAGCCAAGAAGACACAGGGAAGTGGTAGATGATCCCTCAGGGTATAAAATCACTAGATCTTATACAGTAGTAGGGAGAGTTGGAGACTTGCTTGGATCAGTCATGTGCATCTATCTGTATGGTGCATGATGACAATGTTCCCAACAACATAAGAGTAGGGCCCTCAGGAGGGTATGGTGGGAAGAATAATGATTCCCTAAAGGTGTTCATTTCCTGATCGCTGGAACGTGTGAACACATTACCTTACATGGAAAAGAGGACCTTGAATGTGTGATTAGGTTATGGACCTAAAGATGGGGGGTATTGTCTGCATCTTCCAGATAGGGCCAAAGTAAGCACATAAGTCCTTAAAGCAGAGAGCCTTTCATGGATGTGGTCAGCCAGCTGTAAAAATCAAAGAATCATCAGAAATGCAACGTTGCTGGATTGAAGATGAAGGAGGAGGGTCATGAGCTAAGGCATGCAGGAGACCTCTAGGAGGTAGAAAAGCCAAGGAAACAGATTTTTCCCTAGAGTCTCCAGAAGGAGCACAGCCCTACCAACACCTTAATTTTGGTCCTGTGAGGTATATGTCAAAATTGTAACCTAGAGAACTGTAAGACAATAAACCTGTACGTTCTAGTCAGTAGGTTTGTGGTAATTTGTTATAGCAGCCACAGGACACTAATAAACAGGATTAGTATGCATTATCCTTTAGGGACCTTCCACAGCAGAAGATCAAAGAGACCAAACCCCTTAATTGACTCCTAAGCCCTACAAACCTCCGTGTGCTTTAGTCAGGAGACACAGCCTCTAGAGTTCACAGAGGAAATGTGTAAGATGAGGACCTGTGGGAGAAAGCAGCTGCTGCGGAAACTCGCTGACACATAGCCTGGGGAGAAGGATAAAGCATTGTGAAAGAATAGCTAAGGTACTGGTGAGAGTAATAATATGCCACATCCTCAGCCTGGAAGCAGCTGATGGTGAGAGTGAAGTCTGTCCCAGACCCACTGCCACTGAACCGGTCAGGGACCCGAGATTCCTGGGTGGATGCTGAGTAGACAAGCAGCTTAAGAGTACCTGGTTTCTGCTGGTACCAGGCTAAGGAGCTGCTCACACTCTGACTGGACTTGCAGTTGATGGCGACCATTTCTCCTGGAAATGCAGTCAGAGAGGCTAGAGACTGGGTCATCACAATGTCTCCACTGGCACCTGCAATCAGAGTGGACAATTACCATACACTCATATATTTGGTCAACACATTTAAAAGCATATTGTTCATGATGTGTTTTTCTATAAAATCACATGTGTAATACAGTCTGTTTAGCTAATAAACATTCTTTCACTCTGCATCTAAGATCATTTTTCCTCATCTACAAAGATATTACTGCATGCATGGAAGTGCTTTTCAATCTCTCACCTGAGACCCAGAGCAGCAACACGATGAGGAGCTGGGTCTGTGCCATCATTACTGTGTTGTTACCCTGCCTGATGCAGCTCAGTTCACACTAAGGAGAAGGAGCCCATTTGTAAAGCTCTGATCAGCCAGCCAGGACCCACAGGGGCCTATGCAAAGCAGACAGTGTCTACGTGAACAAATTGCACGGGCAATGAGTTGTGGAGGTACATAATGTAAACAAAGAGTCAAAAATATTATCGCAAACAAGTGACTGTTTGAATATGAAAGATGCAGAACTCGATTTAGAAATTGAAATTTCCAAGAGGCCAGACACTGTTTGAAGTATAAAATTTATTTTAAAAATCAGTAGCATTCTCTTACATAACCTACAACCAACAAAACAATCTAAAAAAGAGATTCTATTTTACATCAAAAAAAGATATATATATTTCATTTCATGTATATAAGGGTATATATACTTATATATGTAAATATATGTCTCCTTATAAACACTCAATACCTGAAAAGACAGATGGTAGGGAGTTTTGGATTCTTGTAACCAAGAAATATTTTAGTAATAAAGCTCGTAGTCTTGAAGGCAACTAGGATTCTGCAAATGCATTATCTTGGGATCCAGAGCCAGGCAAAGGCCAGCAACACAGAAGTGGGAGCCAGAGCCCATCCATGTGGGAAATTCTGAGGGAGATCATCCTGCATTAACCTGGGAGCCCTAGAGCCTCCACCATCACGATAAGAACAAACCAGATCTTGACTGAACTGCCTTCTTCCCTCAACTTCTGATAACTGCGAAGAGATCTGCCTAAGTTTATTACAGAACTGGAGGCTAGAAGTGAAGAGAGTGTTAACTTTAAGTTTTACCTGAACCCTGTGATATTGGAAAATAGCCACAGTTAAAGAAAACTCCCTAACCTTTGTGTTCAGGAAAAGAGTTTGCTGCAAAAATCCACCCATCCCATAGGACTTACATAAGACTTACAGCTTCCCCCTTGTTTACCTATGACAAGGCCTGACACAATGCCTCCAAATTCCTTCCCTTCCCTCAGAAATGAGTAACTAAATTGCTTATCCCTGATGATCAATCAGGACAAAGTACTTGTTAACCAAACTTTGGTTAAGCTTTTCTCCTCCCCAAATTCCCTGAAATTTGGCCCACCATCAGCCTGAGCCCATATACCATCCGTTTTTAAGGGTCACTCCTGTGGATTTGACGGCTGTGTAGCCTTCAGTATGGAGTACACCTGAACATAAAGAAAATAAAAATCCTCACAACTGGTCCAATAAATAACATCATGATAAATTGCTAAGACATTGAAGCTGTCAAAGATTTAATTCTACAATCCACAATCAAGCCCATACAAGCAGCAGTCAAGAAATCGAATGACATATTGCATTGACAAGATCTGTGGCAAAAGACCTCTTTAAGGTTCTAAAAAGCAAAAAGATATCACATTGATGACTAAGACACCCTGACCAAAGCCATGTTCTTTTCAACTGCCTCAAATGCATGTGAAATCTGGACAATGAAAAAGGAAGATCAAAGAGGAACTGACACATTTGAATTGTTGTGTTGGCAAAGAATATTGCATTCCATGGACTGCCAGAAGAACAAACAAATCAGTCTTGGAGAAAGTGCACCCAGAATGTCTGTTAAAAACAAGGATAGAAAGACTTTATCTTGTTTATTCTGGACACATCTAAGGAAAGATCAATTGCTAGGAAAGGACATTATGTTTGGTAAAGTAGAGGGTCAGCGAAAATGAGGGAAACCACTTGTGAAACGGATTGATACAATAGCTTAAACAACGGGCTCAAACGTACCAAAAACTGGGGGGATAGCACAAGACCAGGTGATGTTTCTTTCTGTCATCCAGAAAGTCGACATGAGTCAGAATCTTATTCAATGGCAACTAACAACAACAACTCAGAGAGCAGGCTGACCTCAACATAAAGCATTCTGACCTCAAGAGAAAACATTCTGATTTACTGTGGAATGATGTCATTTGCTCACTTCCTTCCCCACCCCTGGGTTTTTTTATATTGTTTACTGTCAGTCTCTGTAAAAGAAAACACCTTTCCCCATCTCTTTGAGACATGTGCAGGTTTTATGGCCAGAGTGTTTTCCCTATTGCAGTAGTCCCCACCATGACAATAGTAGCTGTCATGGATTGAATTGTGTCCCCCAAATATATCTATCCACTTGACTGGGTCATCATTTCCATTATTACATCATTTTGTAATCCAGTGTGATTTCCTTATATATTGTAAACTCTATCACTGTGATGTAATAAGATGGATTAGTGGCACTTATACTGATGAGGTACACAAGATTGGACAGTGTCTTAAGCCAATTTCTTTTGAGATATAAAAGAGAGAAGTGAGCAGAGATCGATGGGGACCTCACACTATCAAGAAAGAAGTTCCAGAAGCATAGCATGTCCTTTGGAACTGAGGTTCCTGTGCTTAGATGCTCCCAGAACAAGGGAAGACTGATAACAAGGACCTTCTTTCAGAGCTGACAGAGAGGACCTTCCCCTGGAGCTGATGCCCTGAATTTGGACTTGTAACCTACTAGACTGTGAGGGAATAAATTTCTTTGTTGAAGCCATCCATTTGTGGTATTTCTGATAAAGCAGCAGTAGATGACTAAGACAGAATTTGGTGTCAGATGTGGGGTGCTGCTCTAAGAGATGCCTAAAATGTGGAAGAGGTTTTGAAACTGTGAACGGAAAGAGGAGGCAGCAGTGGCAGAGGACCAGCAGCAGCAGAAGAGCAGCAGCAGCAGAACCAGGAGACCAGCAAGAGACGGCGCTGGAGCCGGCCAACAGAGCAAGAGAACTGAGTGCCTTCTGGCCAAAATTTACTGACTGAGTGGGGTGCCTCCGTTCACTTATCAGCAGAGCTACAGTGTTTTGGAATACTTGTCCCAACAGGGCAGATGTGAGTGTGAGGCCCAAAGAGCCAAGTGGCCAAGAAACCAGGAAGCAGAAGCTGAAGAGACAGCACAGGAAGCTGAGCTGCCTCAGTCTCAGAAGGTATGGCTAGGACCTCTGGAGTTTTAAAGGGTGGAGCCTTGGCATCGGGTGTTTCTAAGGGTGGAGTTGTCACTCCAAGGGACTGGGAGAATAGTGTGTCTAAAGCCAAGGGAATAGAGTTGCTATACCAGTGGGCTTGGAAAGCAGAGCTGAAGCCCAGGGCCAACGGGCCTCCGTTCAGAATCTGGAGAGTATGGACAATACCCAGAGTCTGGAGCGCAGGACTATCGTGTAAATGGTCTCAGATAACAGAGGATTATTTTCAGTCCTGGAGGGCTAATGTAATGTGTTCTGCTAATTTGCTTGATGCCTGTTATCCCTTCTTTTCCTCCAATTTCTCCCATTTCTAATGGAAATGTCTAGCTTGTGCCTGTTCTGCTATTGTACCTTTGGAAGCAGATAACTTGCATTCTAGATTTCACAGATGAAGAAGAATTTTATTTTTGGATTTTGGACTTGGAGTTGATTTAAGACCTTTGGTATGATATGATGGGATGAATATGTTTTGCATCTTGCAAGGATGTAATTTTTTCAGAGGCCAAAGGATGGAGTGTCATGGATTGAACTGTGTCCCCCCAAAATATCTGTCAACTTGGCTCAGTCATGATTCCCAGTATTAAATGATTGTGTACCATTTTGTAATCTGATGTGATTTCCTTATGTTTTGTAAACTCTATATCTATGACGTAATAAAATGGATTAGTGTCAGTTATACTGATGAAGTATACAAGATTGGATAGTGTTTTAAACCAATCTCTTTTGAGATATTAAAGAGAGAAATGAGCAGAGATACATGGGGACATCATACCACCAAGAAAGCAGTGCCAGGAGCAGGGCTCATCCTTTGGACTTGAGGTTCACGCGCTGAGATGCTCCCAGAACGAGGGAAGATTGATGACAAGGACCTTCCTCCAGAGCCAACAGAGAAGGCCTTGCTCTGGAGCTGATACCTTGAATTTGCACTTGTAAATTAGTAAACTATGAGAGAATAAATTTCTGTGTTGAAGCCATCTACATGTGGTATTTCTGTTAAAGCAGCACTAGATGACTAAGACAGTACCTTTCTCATTGCCTCTTTTCTTTCTGAAACAAAGTTTCTTCCCATGAAAGTCTGGATGTGATTTTATTTCATAAAGTGAAAAAGAAAGCTTACGTAGGAAGTAGTGACTGCAGATCAATCCCTGCATGGATTCACACCTCGCATATGCACAGCCTAAGTGGGTCTGGGACTTTGCAATCTTGAAGTTGATTTAGCTGATCCAACAGGTAGAGTCCCCAAGCACCTGGCATAAATAAATGTAAAACTTCTCTTGAGAAGAGCACAGCTATTCTAAAGTGTCAGGAAACCCCAGAAATAAAGTTTAAAGGACAAAATCATCAAAATGTCACAGATTTCTCAGAATCCATAATACAAGAATATATGAACATGAACAACGTGAGTAACAACAGAATCAAGGACAGCCAAACACACCTCCCCTAGTGCCGTTCAACACCTTCCAATGAGAAAACTTAACATTGTGTTTACTGTGAAGGAGAGGTGCTTAAAGAATTCAGCCTATTAGCACAGAGCTTGTATTGAAGGATGAATTCATAGCTGAGAGGCAATATATGATACCTGCCTGGCTTGGTTATGTAGTGCTGCTATAACAGAAATATCACAAGTGGATGGCTTTAACAAAGAGAAATTTATTCTCTCACAGTCTAGGAGGCTAGAAGTCTGAATTCATGGTGTCAGCTCCTGGAGAAGGTTTTCTCCATCTATAGGCTCTAGGAAATGATCCTTGTCATCAATCTTTACTAGGCCAGGAGCTTCTCTGTGGAACCCCCGGTCCAAAGGACATGTTATTCTCCCGGCTCTTGTTTGTTGGTGGTATGAGGTCTCCCTGTCTCTCTGCTTGCTTCTCTCTTTTATATCTCCAAAGAGATTGATTTAAGATGTAATTTAATCTTGCAGAATGAGTCCTGCCTCATTAACATAACAGCCACTAATCTCACCTCATTAACATCATAGAGGAAGGATTTACAA